TACCCAGTTTCCTTCCTTGGAGCCCCTAGTGGATTTGAATCACTAAAGAGACATCGCCTTTTGGTTAGCTGCACAACTCCCTACTATTAGGACTACAGAGCCCTTTGCTTCCTCTCCCAGAATGGCTACTGAGAGAATCCAGTAACTGGAAACATCAGTTGTACTTTTTATGTGAAACTACCTTACCCCCCATTTTCCCAGGAATAGTTATTTTGAGACCCCAACCCACTTCCCTATCTTGAAGGAAGCATCAGTATGTATCCTTTCCCCAAATCTCTTGTAAAAAACTATAAAATCCCTCTCTAATCTTTAGTGGAGTCTTGAGACCCAGCCCAGCAGTTTCTCCTCAATAAACTATCTTTCTCGCCTGCACTGGGTTCTGTCCTTCCTCAGGAACCTTACACCTACAGACTATGCCACCAGAGTTCTCCTGGCAAGTAGATGCAGTCCTTGATGCTATTATTACTTGAGGCCAATAAATGTGGATGGAAGCTAATAGATCAACCAACTGCAACAGATACATATATTTTGAGTCAACGAAGTGTGGACATTTTCAAACATTAAATTTAATATTCTGTGCAAGTAAAACTTTGTTGTTGTTAAGTGACATTGAGCTGAATATGACTCATAGTGATTCTATGAACAAAAGATCTGAATTATGTTCTATAATTATCATTTTTCTATAATTTCCGTAGGGTTTCCAAAAGCGTGTTGTTTAGGAAGTGGATGATAATCCTGCTTCCAAGCCTGCCTTAATCTGAGAGCACCAGTAAATACTGTCCATCATGGGTAACTTTGGCATTTGACACACCAGAGGCGCAGTGTTCAGTATCCCAGCAAGCCCAAGTTACCTCAGTACAGGAAACTGACAGACCAGTGCTGTATCACTTAGAAGAATGTTCTTCCCAAATACAATTAAACACCAGGCCCAAGGGCTGAGGACCCAACAGACTTTTAAATACAAATTCCCCCTTACCAGGTCCTAATTGACTTAAACAAGAGGCTTCCAATACACAGGTGATTGTTAGTTAAATCCAGTAAATCTAGGCAACCAATCAGTTCATATAAGTTTGTAAATGAAATAAAAAAACCAAACCAAACAACAGTTTATACCTTATTTTAAACCCAAACAAGAGAACCTGCCCTCCAGAATCCAACTGTTTCACATATGAGCCTCTAAACTGGAGACTTGGTCAGGGCTCAACCAAATTTTAAATACAAAGGCCTGCCAACAATTTCCTGACTTACTTATTTGTTCCATTTTTTGTTGTTGTTGTTGCTGCATTATTATTCCTTAGATAAGACATTTTAAGGGCCTACAACTGAGTTTATTTGGCTACAGGATTTGTCATAACTGTCCTCATTAATAGGGAGCTCTGGTAGCCTAGCTGGTGAGAAGCTGCACTGGCAACCAAAACCAGATGGCTTGAATTCACCAGCTGCCCCCAGGGAGAAAGACTATCAATCTCCTTCTGTGGAATTCATAGGCTCAGAAAACTTGATGGAAGGTCAACTTTAGTGAAGATTATTAAAAAAGATATGGAGAAGTACATTAACAGGAAATGATGAAAAATTCAAGCTGTAGAACTAGAGATACCATTACTGATGTCAGATGAATTTTATCTGAGAGAAAAGAATACCACAAAGATACTTACTTAAACACTGAGATAAATGGTAATTACATAACACTTTTATATTTATGCAAAACTGTACATATTCAAAGCAGATATTTAAACAGAATGTTGTTGTTGTTAGGTGCAGTCAAATTGAGTAAGCCTCAAAGGATCCCTATAAACAATGAATCTGAACCTTGTCTTATCTTGTACTATCCTTATCATCTGTGATGTGCTTGAAACTATTGCTATACTCACTGTGTCAACCTGTCTCAATAAGGTCTTCCTATTTTTTGCTGACCCTCAGCTTTTGTATCATGGTGTCTTTTTCAAAAGAATTGCCCCTCCTAACAACAGTCCGAAAGTTTCTGGGATGGAACTTTGCCATCCTTTCCTTTAAAGAGCACCCTGGTTGCACTTTCTCCAAGATGTATTTGTTTGTTCTTTTGGCAGTCCATGGGATGGATATTCAGTACTCTTTTTGAACACCACAACTCAAATAAGGGTATAATATATGGTTTACAATGAGGAAAGACATGTACAAGAGTTATGTCCTTTCTCCATACCATTCAGTCTGTGTGCTGAGCAAAATATTTGATTAGTTGTACTACATGAAGACAAATGTGGTATCAGGAATGGAAGAAGACTTATCAACAACCCACTTTATGCAGATGACATAACCTTGCTCACCAAAAGTGAAGAAGACTTAAAGTACTTATGCAAGATCATATGCTACAACAAGCATGACACCTTAACTTCAAGGAAACAAAAATCCTTACCAGTGGACCAAAAAGCAACATCATTATAGAGGGAGAAAAATTGTCACTGTTTAATTTTTCTGGGATACACAAAACATATATGGCAGCAGCAGTAAAAAAAAAAATAAAAAAAAAATGTGTTACAGAGGGAAAAATCTGCTGTCCAAAACCTCTTTAATAAAGGAAAGGGGAAAGATCCAGTGTAAAAAACTATGTATACAAACATTATGAATTTTGTATATAGACCAGTGTAAAAAAAATAAAATAAAAAAGGACCTCTTTAAAGTGCTAAAGAGCAAGGATATCAGTTTAAAGTTTAAGGTATGCCTGATATAAACCATGATATTTTCAATTGTTCCATGATCATATGAAAATTAGACAACAAATAAGGAAAATTAGACAACTAATAAGAAAAACTAAAGAATCAATGCTTTTAAATTGTGGTGTTGATGAATAGTATTAATATCTCATGAACTGCCAAAAGAGTGAATTAGTGTATTGTAGCGTAAGTATAGTCAGGCGCTTAAAGGCAAAGATGGTGAAAACGCATCTCACATCTTTGGACATATTATCAAGAGGCCCTAGTCCTTGGTAAAAGAAATTTATGAAGAAGCAAGAGGTCAGCAAAAGAAGGGATGACACCAGTGAGATTGATGACACAAGGATTAAAACAATGGGCTTTAGCATGGCGGAGATTGTGAGGGTAGTAGAGAATAGAGCAAGCCTTTGGACTGTTGTGAATATGAGTTTTAGAAAACTTGATGGCAACTGACAACAGCAACAAAAACACCACCACCACATATTTTAAGATTTTGCTTAAACATTCATTCTTTCCACAATTCTAATTCATTGTCTAATTTTAAATTCATTCATTCATTCCACACTAATTAATGTTTGATAATTATCCTTTTGAGAGAACATAACATTCTTTCTTTATTATGAAGTTGAAATAGCCCAAAGATTTATACATATATCTCCCCTGCATTCTAATCTCACACTTGTAACAGAATCTTGCAAATAATTGATGTTTAACAAAGGTTTGTATACTTACCACCAGATTTAGAAAGTGTGACTATCACAAAATGCATCACAGATCAGAAGCATAATGTTTGTAGTTGGGCACATTGATATCCAGTTTTGGCACTTATTAGCAAAGAGAATTGAGTATCATTAAATCTCTGTTAACATTAATTTCCTCAATTAAATAATGACTTTTCCTCCTTAATTTTCAGGCATTCTCTGAAAAGAATTATTTTTCTATGTGTAAGAACTTGGGTTTTATGCTGGAAGTTGTGAAGGCGTCTCACGTTTTGAGGAGGGATAGGTGGTATATTATTGTTCTGTGTATGTGCTGTACAGAAGTAACTCTCGGTTGCTGTGATGCTGAGCACTGTGACCCTGATGTGTCAAATGCGATATTGGTCACCCATGGTGGACAGTGTTTGGTGGAGCTCCCCAATTAAAACAAGCTTGGAAGCAGGAGTGGTATCCACTTCTGAAACAACTTGCCTCTAAAACTATCAGCTTGGAGAAATGAAGTAAGTTCAAGGGGTCGCTATGAGTTGCCTACCTTAACAGCATTTAAGAACAACAATAACAACATAAGAACTTAGTATAAAGTGTAATAAATCCTCATTTCAAGTTAAGGTTTTTCTCCAGTCTTCATTATTTAAGGTAAAAGTTCCAGTGAACAGAATTTAAGTGCCCATCACAGTATAAGTTCAAGAAATTAATGTGCATGATTCAGTCCTCCAGGTGTTTGATTGAAAGTTTTCTCAGACTTCAATTCCTTTTTTAAAAATTTCAGATAAAACTGGAAAACTTATTGCTTTTGAATCAGAACTGATTCTTTGCTGACCACTCAGTGGATTTCTAAGGTTGTAAATCATATGGAAGGAAATTTTCCATCTTTCTTCCTCAGAGGTTATGTATGGTTGATTAGAATTGCCAGAGGTTGATCTTTGATTTACTGATGCAACTCCGTACAAGCTACGCTATGAGAGCTCCCTAGATTAGGATGAAAAGTTCAAGATTTTGCATTTTTTATAGAGCAATAGTTATGCAATATGCAACTATGCAATATGGCAACTAACAACAGAAAGTATGGAGAGATACATTTTACAGCTACTCTGAAATTTCCTAAACAACATGCCTCTGGAAACTCTGTGAACTTTGATAAATGGTGATGGTTGTGGAAGGGCTTCAGGCCTTTTGTTCATGGGGTTACTATGAGTCATGCTCAACTTGACAACAATCATCAACAACTCTTGAAATTTAAGCCATATGTTGTTGTTGTGTGCCATCAAGTTGGAACTGACTCACAGCTGACCCTCCAGTGTGTTTTCAGAGGCAGTAAATTACACAGGAGGAGATTTCCCATACTTCTCCTGTAAAGCAGTGGTGAATTTGAATCTCATGCATTTGGGATTACAGTGTAGCTTCCTACCACTAGCCAGCAGAGCTGCCTAATTATCCATTAAACACATAAAACTTCATAAACAAGCACAGAGAAGATGGTGTCAATTTTAGATAAATAAGTCACCTTTACAAATGATCTGAGCTACATCTTTTGTAGAGCACGATCTGTTGTTCCAAGGATCTGAAGGACACTGCCACAGAATGGTATCACTTTTTCGACACTGGATTCTATCCACCCACAAGGGCTGAGAGACTGTCATGATGCCGGCAGAATAGTTGAGCTCCCCAGTGTCCCCACAGCCCAACTGTCTGCAGATGACAGACAGCGTAGTGGATTCCATTGAGTTTCTGCAGACACTGCCCCACGTCCCATTGTAGAAGATCTCCAGCCTCCCAGCACAGTCATAGTCCTCACTCACGAGCCTGAGGGCCAGGGATTCTGAAAGCAGAGATGGAAAGAATAAGGGCACTGGGACAGTGTGGCTGAGCCTGCTGCTTACTTTTATCTTGGTAATGGGACTGCTTACATTAGACACTGTGAGGGACTTTTACATGTTGTTGGTTGCCTTCTAGTCGAGCACGACTCATAGCAAACCTATGAACAAAAGGCCTAAAGTCCCTCTACAACTATCAACATTTATTAAAGTTCATAGAGTTTCTGAAGGAATGTTAATTAGGTAGTGGATGCTACTCCTGCTTCTGTTGATTCAGTTAACAAATTCCTTCCTGATTCTTTTTTTTTTAAAAAAGCAGTGTTCCTTCCTGCTTGGACCCATTTGTCTCTCATTATTGGGACTGGGAAAACTGAGATGAAATGAAGCAATTGTCCATAGATTATTTCTGTTTATGAGAAACTGACTACAAGAAATGGGCAATACTTGTAAGATTATTGTTTGTGATGTTAGTAAAGAATACTGAATAAACCAAGTGCTGGGTGGCAGGGGTGGGGTGGGGTGAAAGAAACAAATCTACCTTGGAAGAAATAATAGACAGAGTGCTCCTTATAAGCAAAGATAGTGGACTAACCAGGCCCTGGAGGACACCATGCTTCATGGTAAAGTAAAAAGGTGGTGGGAAGAGGAACATCTCGTAGAGTTGGACTGATATAGTGACCACAACAATGGCTCTAAGCACAGGAGTGATGTCGAGGACGGTACAGGGTAAAGCAGAGTTCAGTACTATTTTATGTGGGTCGCTATAAGTCTGAATTGACTTGAAACTCAGCAACAATACTATGCCTGAAATGTACTCTTTCTTTTGTTTAGGAAGAACTACCTTGTAAGGTGTAATCTTTGCAGACAGAAACTCACCCTTCACCAGTGTTTAAATAGAAAGGTCCACCATAGGAGGACCGTTTGTGGCTTATTCAGCTTAGACATCCCAGGTCCCAGATCCCAACTCCCGTGGAACTCCCAGATGTGTCCCTAAAGACACAGACAAAAAGAAGAGCAGACCTGAGCAGATGACCCCTGCATCCTCCTTGTGTGTGCAATCATGCTTTCCCCAGCTTTGGGAAGGGCATTTTCACAGGTGTGACTCCTGTCATAACTACCTAGGTCAACAGACCTAGGTATTGTTAAGTACCATTGAGTCAACTCATAGTGACCCTATGAATGACAGACCTGAACACTTGATAATTAATAATGGTAAAAGAAAATATACTATCCCTTTAATATTCCTTTTTCCTTAAGTAAATAATGAATGTACAATGAAGAGAACTCTATTTTAGTGAAGAATGTCTCACTTTTGAACTGAGATTTTCCACACTTTGCTCTTAGAGACATTTCATTTAGGAGCTGAGGACCAGTGAGCCCTTACTTCCCTCTTACCTGCACAGATCACAGAGGCTGTGTTTCCATAGGAACATTCAGGAAGCCCCAGGGCAGTCATGGGGCAATTCCACAAAAAGGACTCATCCCCTGAGCAGTGAAATCGGTATTTCCAGATCTGATCTCTTCTTCCCTCAAAATATGCTCCTGTTGTGATGGAGAGGGCATCTCCACAGTTGAACTGACGACACACTACGTTGGTATTGGCCATGCTCCAGTGAGAGGCACAGAGTGGCGTCCAGACTCCAGAAATCTTCATCTGCACTTGTCCCTCACATGGAGAGCTGTGGTTGTTCATGAGCCTGACTTCTGTGTAGTCTGGTAGAAGAAGACAGATGTGAGTACAACATTGTTTTTCTTGCCCCAACAGCACATGTGGGTAGATTTACAAAGAGCTGATGTGAGTCTCACCTGAACAGACAATGTGGACAGCCCTACTGTGGAGACAAGTGCCACCAGGACAGTGCACTCTGGGACAAAGCCAGAGCTCAAGTTCATGCCCCTCACACTGGAACTGTTCAGTCAGGACCTGGTCATTAGCTTTTCTGAAAGGCATGTCCCCCAGGACAGATGCAGCTTTTCCACATCCCAGCTCTGTACAGATGACCTGGGCAGTAGTGTAAGTGAAGTTTACATCAGACACTGGAGTCCAGACTTGAAATCACTTCCACTTGCCCTGAGCAGAGCCCAGTCCCTCCAAACAGACGCAAATATCCTACGGGAGAAAAAAAAATAAACCCAGTGAGTGTTCATGAGCCTTGCTTGGCATTAGGAAAAGACATGGTACCAGTAATGGTGAGAAAGGTTTTCTTTTCCCAGAGATGGAATATGGGCGAAGATTCAACTTTAACATCAAAATGAGATCAGTGTGAGGGTGAGAGTTTGAAACATCAGTGCACTATGCTGGACTCCTTGAAACATACACATTGGGAAGAAGTATTTTCTTCATATTGTGGCCAGAGCTGGCAGGATTTGAGGAAATGCAACAATAACTCTGCAGACATTGAAACCTGGTAGTGGAGGTCTGAAAATAAGTAACTCAGAGGAGAAAAAAATGAGACATGGTCTTTTGGACAGTAGAAACCTATCAGCCA